GGTGGACTCTGGGTGATCTTGATCCTGGGCAGTGGTGGTCATTGGTGTCTCTCCGCCTAGTAAGCTGGCTAGTTCTTGGCTGAGACAACGGGAATAATTTTGTCCTGTGTCTCCCAATACCCAGCCAGCACGCTTGGGTTTGGTCCTGTGTCGGTTGCAGCATTCGAGAAGTGTGCTAGTGCTTTGCATGCCTCTCTTTGATCATATTTGCTAACGTGCCATTGAACAAAGCAAGTTATACAGCTGTTGAAAAAAAGGGATGGAAAAATGCACTGTACTATTTAAACACTCTGGAAGCTTCAGAACTCTGCATACACAAATGAACAGGGCTGTGTCCGATAAAACTTCCCTTACAGACACTGAAATCTGAATTTCATTTAAGTTGCACATCTCTAGAATCTACTCTCTTATTTTACTCCCACGCTTTAAAAAGTGTACAAACCATTCTTAGTTCATGTATAGAATTATACAACAAAATTAAACAGAAGGCACAGAGTTTGTTAATGGAGGAGGCAATGCATATGCAGGAAGGATTGGGAAATCTCTGTACCTTCTATTTCTTGATATTAATCCCTTGTCTTTTATATGTATTGCCAATAATTTCTCTTTACTAGTCCTTGTCCTTTAATATGTTTCAAGTACATTCATAATTGTTCAATAGAGAATTTGTATGATGGCTTCTTTAAGATCCTTGTTCAAGAATTCAAACAGCTATGTTAGCTTGATATTGGTGTGTACTAACTGTCTTTTCTTATGGAGCTGAGAGTTTCCCAGTGTGATAAGCTATTTTGGATTGTGTCCTATGAATTTTGAGTATTAATTTATGAGACTCTAGTTCCCACTTAAATCTTCTATTTTAGCTGGTTGTAAACCTGTTTTGTTTCAGAATGCGTATCCTGGCTCACTCTGGTGGACTGTGGTTCAAACAACAGTTCAATCGATCGAGCCTCTGCATGGATTTTCTGGTCTGTCCACCTGCATGTTTCCCAGGTGACAGGACTTCACCTCACAGTCTTCTCAGTGCTGGCTTGAGCTGAGAAGAGTGCTGCCTCCTACTGCAGATGGGGAAGGAAGACGGGCTCCACAATGTGTCTGGCTTGCATGACCCATCCTTCTTGCAGGAGGTTGTGGAAGGCAGGTGGTGTTGGTTCTCAACCAGGGGTGACGTTCCCAGGGCACATTTGGTAGTAGCTGGATACATTTTTGATTATCAAAATGGGCGGTGTGCTATCGGCATCTAGTGGGTTATCCAGGGGTACTGCTATACATCCTGTAATGCACAGGACGCCCTTCCAGGACAAAGGCTTTTCCAGCCCCAAATGTCAATAATGCTAGGCTTACAGTTTCCATGAGGACCACCTTACTGCAATGGGAAAGAGTTGGAACATAGCTTCTCATTGATGAACTCAGTGTCTCCAATGCCTGTTAAGGAACAGAGGGTGAAGCTCTCCACATGTTTGCCTCAAGAACAAGCAGATGGTTAAAAGGTTTCTGTTATTGTGGGCAAGACTTTCCTGGCCCTTTGGCTTTTCTTAAGGCGTGTGTGTGTGTGTGTGTGTGTGTGTCCGTGTGTCCGTGTGTCTGTGTGTGTTGGTGAGGCTTCTCTAACCCTGAGTTAGATACATGGGAGGAAAGAAAACCCCAGGAAACTCCCCACTGGGTTAGTCTTTGAGTTCTGAAGTCCCTAGTTAATCTACTTCCTTTTGTCTATATTTCAAACTCTTCTGATGGGTGACTTGTGGAGTTATGATCAGTGGGAGGAATAAAATGAAATGTAGTCATTCTTGTCTAAACCTTAAGAAATTCTATGTCCTTAATGACTTTTTTAAAAAAATATTTTTATTTATTTTTTTATTGAAGTATAGTCAGTTACAATGTGTCACTTTCTGGTGTACAGCACGATGTCCCAGTCATGCATTTACATGCATATATTTGCTTCCGCATTCTTTTTCATTAAAGGTTATTACAAGATATTGAACATAGTACCCTGTATTATACAGAAGAAACTTTTTAAAATCTATTTTTATATATAGTGGCTAATATTTGTAAATACCAAACTCCAAAACTTATCCCTCCCCACCCCGTATCTCTGGTAACCATAAGATTGTTTACTATGTCTGCGAGTCTGTCTGCTTTGTAGATGAGTTCTTAGTGACTTTTCTTTTTTCCTTTTTTTAGATTCCACGTATGAGTGATATCATATGGTATTTTTCTTTCTCTTTCTGGCTTTCTTCACTTAGAATGACGATCTGTAGGTCTATCCATGTTGCTGCAAATGGCATTATTTTATTCTTTTTATGGCTGAAGAGTATTCTATTGTATAAATATACCACAACTCCTTTATCCAGTCATCTGTCGATGGACATTTAGGTTGCTTCCATGTCTTGGCTATTGTATATAGTGATGCTATGAACCCTTAATGACTTTTAATTTTTTTTCTTCTCTCAGCTGAATCTCTTTCCTCCAAATTGCTGTTTTCAACTTTATTGATTTGGTGATTATTTTCTGCGTTTCGGGGCTTTCCCTGACTATCTGGTCTCCTATTTGAAATTATAACTATTGGAATAAAAAGTGATTGGAAACTCTGTGATGTGGACATACCTTGTTTACTTTCAGCTTCCTAGTGAGACAACTGGATGAATCATGGGCGAGCCGCTAATGTGACTATCTTTAGGACATCCCTTTCGGGCTTATCAGCTTCTCCAGAAGATCCCAATGGTGGGGGTCTTACTGCAGGGTTCTGGAGGCTCAAGGTGAAGGTGGCTGTGTCTTAACATTCTGCATTCAATATTTACACCATCTCCTAACCTTCCAGGTTTGGCATCCAGGGCCCTAAACTGGCCTGAGACTCCTCAACACAAGTGATCTGTTTTACTCTCAGCAGAAAACATAACTCCAGATTTCTTCAATAGCCAGTAAGGTACATTAATCTATATAAGTGGAGTGGGGAGAAGATTTAGGGATAAAACTGCTTTCTCACACAGCTTCCCTCCCAGTATTCCTAGCTTTAGTATTCCTTCCCATAGTCAGATCAAGACATCCTGTTTTTTTCTTTTTTCTTTTTTTGAGAATTCTAGGTTATAGATCATTATATTTTCAGCTTTCTCCATGGCCCACTAAGTTCTTTTTTTATTTTTATTTTACTTGAATAGCCTTTGTTCTTTTAGAGCAGTTTCAGGTTCACTGCAGAATTGAGCAGAAAATACAGAGAGTTGGCACATAGCCCTCCCCATTCACACATACATACTCCCCTACCCTCAGCATCCCTCATCAGTGTGGCATGTTTAGTACAATCGATGAACTGACATGGGCACATTATTATCAACCAAAGTCCATAGTTTACATTAAGGTTCACTCTTGATGTTGTACATTCTATGGGTTTTGACAAATGCATAATGATGTGTAGCCACCACTATAGTAGCATACAGAATAATTTCATTGCCCTAAAAATCCCTAATGCTCCATCTATTCATTCC